ACATCAGGTTGTGCAACCGAAACTACTTGTGGAGACGTTTGCTTATTTGCACGATACTGAAGGAACTCATCATATTCTGTCTGAGCAATATGAGCATTATTGGATGGTTGATTAGGTTGAGCACCATATGCTACTGGTGGAGATGTCTGTTTACTTGCGCGATTTCGAAGGAACTCATTATATTCCTTTAGAACAATAGGATCATAACTGGGTGGTGGACCATGCAAAATATAACATATATCACGAGTGTGTCCAGGCTTATGACAATGACTACACTTGGATCGAGGTTTCCCAAAACGCCCTCCCCCTCGCCGATTCTCCATAGATTGATATGTACGCTTTTCAAAGGTTTGAGATGCGAGAATAGAGGAGTCAACCGTGGGTGATGAAACTACCTTGTGACTGGGAGGTGCCGCAAGACGAAGGAGACGAGAGAATAATTCATCGATTGTAGGAACTGTAGGGCTAGCTAAAATCTGATCACGTACAGAATCATGATCAGGAGGAAGTCCAGCAAGAGTAAGAACTAGAAACAATGTTTGTCTGTGTTCTTGTTGTTTTTCCACATTCGTAGTAACTGGCATCAATGTGTCAAATTCCTCCATGACTGCCTGTACCTGTCCCAAGTAAGTAGACATATCGGATTCTTGTTTCTTTAAGTTGGTCAATCGAGATATCACATCATAGAATCGAGATATGTCATTAGTGTATAAAGCACGAGCCTTTTCCCAAACTGTATAACACGTCTGGAATGGGCGAAACAAGGGCATCAACTTGGAATCAATAGAACGCCATAGGAGACTACATAATTGAGCATCTACTTTCTCCCATTGTGCTTTGGCTTTTGCATCTTCCTCACTAGTCTTTGCCTTTACATCTACCACATAAGTCTTGTTCGTTAAGTGATCTTGGACACCTTGACCCTTGCACCACAGCTCAACCGAGGAAGCCCAAGATAAATAGTTTGAACTTCCCAATAAAAGTTCTGAAGTGATTATAGGGCTAGAACTTCCAATCCCCATATTTTTAGAACCAAAAACATCACACCCAAAAGACATTATGCTAAATTTGTCTTGGAAACAAAAAAACTTGATTATTGAGATCTGATTGTCGGAAAATTCAAATCTCGAAGAAAAGTCGCCGGAAACAGCCTGGAAATTGCTGGAACCCTAATTCCGGTGATCGGATCTGGTCAAAAACAGTATGGGCCTGGTCGGAATGGCTGGACGACCCCAACTGTCAAAAAAATTCTCAAAAAATATGATCAGAAAAGCCCTCACGCGCCGGCGCGTGAGACAGATCTCGCCGGAAACTACCACCTCCGATCGGTGCATAAGAGCGCGTGGGGTGATGTTTTCCGGTGGTTTTGGCTGGGGTTTGGTCGCGGGGGCTTTTCGAGCCTCGTGGTGGTGTTGGTTTTCGCACAACACCACAGAAAGAAAAAAGAATAACAAAATCAGATCCAACAGTCACCGGAAATTGACATAGACATACGGTGACTAGTTTGTTCTCACCAATGCTTTGATACCATGTGAGAAATATATTGGAAAAAATATTATTGAATTGTATTTCTAAATAGTTACATTGAGACCCTATTTATAGACACTACATTGGAATCCTTTTCCAACTAGGATTCCTATTCCTATTCCTATTCATATTCCTATTCTAAGTAGGAAATACTTATTTCTATTCTAACAGTACCCAAATAGAGAAATTCCCCATATTCTAGTTGGTAATTTTTCTGAAATTTCTTCCAACCTTTGTGTATAAGAAAGCCCTCTTCCATTACATTGTAGTTTCACATTCCAAGTTCCTCCAGAAAGACCCTTTAGAGTGACTTTATCAGGTGATTCTTCAGATATATGCCTAAGAAAATCGGCTAGGTTCCCTACAAATTAAGAGAGTCAAAAGAAGAAGAAAAAACAAGAAGAAAGTGAACTGGGATCTCTCGAAAAAGACTGTTCTTTTTATCTATCTTCAGTAGGTTTTTTCCATCATCACAATTGCAGTCGCACTTGTCTTTAACACCAAATCTTTAAAGCTAGAGTTAATTCACATATATAGGATGAACAAAGAAAAACATAAAGAATTCAGTGTTTTGTAAGTGAAGTCATGGTCATTCCAAGTTTTCCAAGCAAACATAGCAATTGAGCCAGAAGTAGACCAGATAATGGTTTAACATTCGAATGCAAATAAACTAGACTTCAGTCCCAAAAATTGCCCTTAGGCACGTTTTGTGAGCAAATCGAACTACCAAATATTTTTAAAACCCTTTCAAACTTGCAGACTGAAACTTTTCATGACATTTATGACTACAAGATCATGTTGAGATACACAAAGATGACATTTTTTATGTTCATTTTTTTCTTCCTCCTCCACAGCCAATTTTGGACCTGTAACTCGTTTCTTTTCATATCCAGTTATTCCATGTAATTTTAAGTCAAATGTTCCATTTCCATGATTCCATCATAATCAGTTTACAGAAGAAGAATGTATAGGGACAAAGGCTTACCAGTCAAGAATCTGCAAGTAAGGATTTACTGGCATGAATATTTTGGCAGCTTTAGTGGCCCTGCTCGCTTGTGAAGCACTCAGTAATCCTATTTTGCGATGATCATACCATCCACGCTCTACAGATTCTCCCATTGCAGGACGTTGAATGATTTCCTTGTATCTGCAATTATCAAATTAGCTCTCAATATGATGCAGATAAATTTTCAAACTTACAATATTTTGTTGGAAAACAAACTAGCCGGTCTTGCAATTGGTATTATTTGAAGATACTGGTCCAAATGCATCTGGAGTCTCTGTATATTTACTTTCATTAAAATGAAGTTTATAGTTTTCAATTCCCACTTGTGTATTATTTGGATTAGTCATACCTTCAGTTTCCGCAGCAGAATGTACAGGAGTAATCATACTTTGCCGAACTAATTTGCCACCGAATGACTTAGTTAAACTGTTATTGCCCAATAGGTTTGAATTCTTCACATTTACTAGCCGTCTGTCATGTAATTTGTTTGTTCTGCTTCTTGTTCCATAGCAACGCCAAAGTTTAATCCTTCCAGATGCAATTTTACGTCTTTTGGCTCCATAGAGAACTTTAGATGACTTAGCTGAACTCTCAGTAGCGTCTTGGTCAAATCTGTGGACTCTGAAACATGAGTTCTGTCCATATTTGATGAGTAAAAAGTACCAAGTCAATTTTTATACTTAAAATTTAGTCCTATGGCACAAATGGTAGTATAGCTATTACAATCTTAATTAGAAAGATACAAGAGAAACCATGTACATCAGAAGTTTATCTATTTCAAACACTATGCTGTAAGTTTTCACAAACCTAAAATTGATCTGGCAACTACCATGTGAACAAATAAGGAAAAAAACAACGGGAAGAAGATGAATGAAGCAACATCTCAAAGATGGGATTTCAGACATATATCCCCCAACTTTTACTGCAAAAGGGAATGACCAATTGAACATAATCATTAAGTACAGAACATCAATTCAAGAATTCAAGATCAGTAACATAAATATGAAAAAGTAGTAACCCAAATCCAAAACAACTCAAGAACCAGGAACATCAATTAAAAAACAATAAATTTAAATTACGATGGGCATATAACCTAAAATTGATCTGGCTACAACCATGTCAACAAATAAGGAAAAACAATGGAAAGAAAAATGAATGAAGGAACATCAATTCAAGAATTAAAGAACCGATAACTTCAATTCAAGAAATCAAGAACTGGGAACATCTTCCCGAACTATTACCCATTGAACATTATCATTAAGTGCAGAACATCAATTCAAGAATTCAAGAGCCAAGCAAGTCAATTCAAGAACCAAGAACATAAATATGAAAAAGTAGTAACCTAAATCCAAAACAATTCAAGAACCAGCAACGTCAATTAAAAAACAATAAATTTAAATTACAATGTGCATTAACCTAAACTGATCTGGCTACAACCATGTGAACAAATAAGGAAAAACAATGGGAAGAAGACGAATGAAGGAACATCAATTCAAGAGTAAAGAACCGGCAACTTCAATTCAAGAATTCAAGAACCAGGAACATCTTCCCGAACTTCTATCTAAAAGGGAATTACCAATTGAACATTATCATTAAGTGCAAAACATCAATTCAAGAATTCAAGAAGCAGCAACGTCAATTCAAAAAGTAGTAACCTAAATATCTCTGATTGAGGGCAAGGGGATGAGAGTAGTGTAGTACTATGGTTGAAACTTTTTTCCGGTTGGCCAATCTTTTACCGTCGTCATGGCCGGTTTCCGTTGTCCGGGACGGATTCCGGTTGCCTCAACTTAGAAAAGAGAGCTCACTTATCAGAGTTACCTCCTTTTATAGATAACGCATCGGCTTTCTAAAATATCTTTTCCCATATATTAAAAAAAAAAAAAACGCTATTTTATCAATTAAGTAAAATAATTTTGGCTAGTTTTTTATTTATTTTAATTACTTATTAAAGTTTTAAACCGTTGTGATTTATTATAGTCTTCTTATATATTTTATTTTCTATAAATAAATAAGAAATTAAATAAATGAGAAAACTAAAGAATTAAATGTCCTTACCAAATTTTTTTAAATAATGTTTGAATTAATCAGAAAAAAAATTAACCACTCTTTAATTCGAATATTAGCCCTTTGACTCATTATAAATTATATAATTAGTAAATATTGAATATTTATAGTTTAAAATATTATTAAAACAAAGCAATATATTATTTTTATAGCGAACTCTTCCCCTCTTCTCATTTGCCTCCCCTTCCCTCTCTCTTGTTCTCTCCTCTTTCTCGTCCTTTAATTCAAATATTAGCCTTTTGACTCATTATAAATTATATAGTAATTAGTAAATATTGAATATTTATAGTTAAAATATTATTAAAACAAAACAATATATTATTTTTATAGCGAACTCTTCCCCTCTTCTCATTTGCCTCCCCTTCCCTCTCTCTTGTTCTCTCCTCTTTCTCCCCACCACCCCACCCCCTCTCCCGATTTGTATATCTATCTATTATACATGGCTTTTTTCCTTAATTCTCTTTGAATTCTCTCTTTTGTTTACCTTTCCCGACTATTCCTCTCAATTTGACTAATGAGCATACTCTTCTCCATTTCTTTCTGAGCCCAACCTTTTTCTCCCCGCCCAACCGTTTTTTTGGTTGTTTTCCCTTTTTCTCTTGTATACTAGGAAGGGAAGTATGTGCTTTGCGCATTATTATTTGAAAACTAGTAAAGTAATATTAATTTGAGGTATTTTCAATATTTTAAATTTCATAGTATTTTTTAAATAATAATATAATATTAATGATCTAGCATTAATATTTGAAATAAAAAGTAATTTATAGATAAAAGGATAGACAAATAAAAAAAAAATTAACTTTAGAACATCGTAAATATTTTCTATACTTAATTAAGTAGTACTTATTTAATATGTTTTTTATAGTAAAAATTCAATGATTATTTAATACCATATTCTATTAAGTCAGTTATAGTAGACTAGGAATCCAGAAAACTTCAAATCAAGAGGTCATACTCCGCCAACTACGCGATCACAACTTCTCAAACAAAATGAATTAGGAAAAAAATGTATATAAGGTTTTCTTATAATAATCATCATTATTTGGAAATTCATAGTGTTTATTTGTGGTACTTTTAATTTTTACATTCAATGATTTTTTAAAAAATAATAATAATATAACAATATTTGTAGTCTTCAAAGTTTGTCAACAAAACAACAATATTTATAGTCTTCAAAATTTGTCAACGTACAATAATACTTAAGGCCATAAAAATTAAAATGCTATGTTAAAAAGCAATAAACTATTTCTTTTATTTATTGTTGTGATGGGAATTTGATCCTTCATATACAACTGAACTTGTAAGTAAAAGATTTTGTCGCATTTTTCTCTCACAAATTCACAAATACACCTATCATCTTTCTCTACAAGGTTTCATCTACATAAATTGCGCCATATGCCCACCAGCCATATTCTTTCGTTGCTCCAATTATTGACTTTTGTCTCAAATTCTTTGCCAACAAAGTCGCGAATGGTCATGCTTGGAGGGAGTTCAAGTTTATAGTTTCGCACCACATCAATTGAAACGAACTATAATTATGAACAAAAATTTTATTAAATTAGAATGTTGCATAAAATCATTCTCTAGTTCAATATATAATTATAGGCTTTAGTACCAGTTGATTTCTCTTTTTTGCTCGTATCTTTGCTACAAAGTAAGGATTTTTAGGCTGAGTTACGCGTCCACATCTAAATACATATGCACCATATAGGTCATGCATATTGCTCACCTTGCAAGTAATGGTTTTTCGTCATCCAGCTGAATCTCACCTTGCAAGTAATGGTTTTTTGTCATCTAGCTGAATCAAGAAAGTTAACGGATCAGGTTCACAAATAAAAATCTCATGAAAACTCACAAATACTTCACTCGTTACATTTTACATGGTGATACTTTATTAAACATGAACTTTATGAAGAAAAAAAGAAAAAGAAGCTTTTGACATTATACAAAAAGTGTTAGAAAAAGATATTGACAAAAATGAAGGTTGTTTTAGTTAAATATTATTGTTTTGATAAAAGAATTGAGAAAGTTTTCATTTGATCTTACTGTTCTACTATTGTTTGTTTGCTAAATTATATTAAGTGATTATGGTGAGTATAAGACCTGTATTAAAGTCTACTTCTCATGTTTATTGAATTGTTATAAACATAATTAGCATGTTTTTTTATTTATTAATTTTGACTAGCTCCATCATTTTTTCCATTTATGGTTATTATATATATTAAATATTTACTAATGCAATATTCGAATTAAAGAGTGGTTAATTCCATTTTTTAAAAATGATTAATTCGAACATTCTCTATTTTTTTTTTCCGTAAGGATCTCTAATTCTTTAATTTTCTCATATATTTAATTTCTTAGTTAAAGAAAATATAAACATATAAGACTATAATAAATCACAATTGTTTGATGTAAGTAATTGAAATAAATAAAAAAATTGCCAAAATTATTTTACCTAATTAATGCGTTTTTTTTTTAAAAAAAATATATGGGAAAAGATATTTTAGAAAGCCGACGCGTTACCTATAAAAGGAGGTAACACTGATATGTGAGCGCACTCTCTTTTTTTCTTTCTTTCTGAATAGAGGATTAAAAGATTGGCAACCGGAATCCGGCCATGACGACGGTAAAAAGATTGAACCAGAGGATTTTTAGGTTACTACTTTTTCCTGTTTCTTGAATTGGTCATTCCTAGTTCTTGAGTTCTTGAATTAATGTTTTGCATAATTGTAATCCCCTTTTTATGTTTAAAGTTCGGTAAGATGTCCCTGGTTCTTTAATTTTTGAATTGAAGTTACTGGTTCTTTAATTCTTGAATTCCTTCATTCGTCTTCTTCCCATTGTTTTTCCTTATTTGTTCACATTGTTGTAGCAAGATCAATTTTAGGTTATATGCACATTGTAATTAAATTTTATTGTTTTTGAATTGACGTTCATGGTTTCTTGAATTGTTTTTTTTTATGACAAGGGAAACCCGTAGCCGCTACCCTTTGGGTGCGCACAGGGTAAAACCCCCGCTCCTATGCAATAGCTCGCAAACCACATAGGAGAGGTAACCCGCACTAGGCAAGGTAACCCGCACTAGGCAAGCCTGGTGCAACGAGCTCGACCCAGAAGGCAAACCCCTTGCTTTCGCTGGCAAGGGGTTTCGAACTTGAGGCCTCCAACATGAAAGTCCCAAGCTCAAACCACTGGGCCACCCCGAAGGGTTGGTTTCTTGAATTGTTTTCGATTTAGGTTACTACTTTTTCTTATTTATGTTCCTGGTTCTTGAATTGATTTACCTGGTTATTGAATTCTTGATTTCATCTTCCTGGTTCTTGAATTGACTTACCTGGTTATTGAATTCTTGAATTCATGTTCTGCATTTAATGTTAATGTTCAATTGGTAATTTCTTTTTATGTAAGAGTTCGGGGAGATGTGATTTATCAGTGCTTGCTGGGAAAATTTTCACTCTCATGTTTTTTTTGGCTCTTATTCCAAAAAAAAATAGAGCCAAAGAATTGAGAGATTATAGGTCAATCAGTCTGATTAGTAGTACTTACAAGATTATCTCCAAGACTCTAGCTGAAAGAATGAAAAGGGTGATCGAGAAGATAGTAAGCAAACACCAGATGGCCTTCATTAAGGGTAGACAAATTATTGATGCTTCCCTTATTGCAAATGAATGTGTTGACGCTAGGCAGAAGGCTAAGAAATCTGGAATCCTTTGTAAACTAGACATTGAAAAGGCGTTTGATCATGTTAACTGGAAGTATTTGATCAATATTATGAGGGTCATGGGTTTTGGGGACAAATGGCTTAAATGGATTTATTATTGCATTAGTACAGTGAAGTTTTCTGTTCTTATTAATGGAATGGATCCTCTGAAGGATTTTTTCAATCCGAAAGGGGATTAAGGCAAGGAGACCCTCTCTCTCCTTTTCTTTTCATCATGGCCATGGAGGGGCTTAGCAATATGTTGAGAATCTCTACAACCAATGGTGATTTGAGGGGGTTCACTGTTCAAAATAGGGAAAACATCGTAGAGATCTCACATCCTCTTTATGCAGATGATGCTTTGATACTTTGTGATGCAGAGCCTTCCCAAATAATGCATTTGAGGCTGATTCTTACTGTTTTTGAAGGTATCTCCGGCCTTCATGTCGATTGGAGAAAGAGCCACCAAATTGTTAATTCTTGCCAGTATTCTAGGTTGTGAGGTGGGTGCTCTACCTACTAAATATTTGGGTCTTTCTTTGGGCTCAAAAAACAAAGCTGTTGATATATGGGAAGGGGTACTTGATAGATGTGAAAGGAGGCTTGCAAGATGGAAAGCATAGTACCTGTCATTAGGGGAAAGGGTCATTCTTGTCAACAGTGTTCTGGACTCCTTTCCCACCTATGTAATGTCTCTATTTCCAATTCCAGACAAAGTGAGAAAAAGCATAGATTAGCTGTGGAGAAACTTTATTTGGGAGGGGAACAGGAATAGCAAACGCTTGCATCTGGTCAAGTGGAAGATCCTCATTTCTAGTAAGAAGGTGGGAGGACTAGGAATCAAAAATCTCAGAATACATAATATGAGTCTATTATTTAAGTGGCTTTGGAGATATAACACTGAAGAGCAAGCATTATGGAGACAGGTTACACATTGCAGGCATATGAACAAACGGGCCACTGGACTACCAAACCAGTGACATCTGCCTATGGAGTGGGGAACTGGAAATCCATCAGGAATCTATGGGAGGTGTTTATAGCAAATACAGGGGTCAGGTTGGGCCTTTGATTGATCAATTTCATGATCTGTTCATTTTATCCTCCTTTCCTGATGCTACAGTTGAAGTAACTTTTTTTTTTTTTTTGTATTTTGCACCGGGTGTCCGAGTCTCTTTGAGCCCCGACTAATCCCGGGGGTGCACAGGCCCCTCGGGCAAGGAGTTTCCCGCAAGTGCACCACGGTTAATTCAGGTTTTACCCAGTCCGATGGCCCTCAGAAATTGTTTGCACCCAGTGGTTCGACTTGAGACCTTGAAAGGGAGCAAACCCCAAGGCTCAAGTCAATTGCCAGCAGGCCAACCCCTGAGGGTTACAGTTGAAGAACTTTGGACTCCACAAGGGTGGAATATTGTATTCAGAAGGCTCCTTAATGATTGGGAGATCCCAAGAGTTACTGATCTCTTTGGTAAACTCTTGAAGGTTTCTCAGGCCTAAAGGAGAAGAAGGATTCTCATACTTGGATAGGCGGCACCATGGCTGTTTTCTCTGTCAAAACAGCTTACAACTACTTAATGGATTTGGAGCAGTTCAATGACCCATGGCCATGGAAAGAGATATGGAAAGCAAGAGCTCCTTTCAAAGTGGTTTTGCTTACTTGGCTAGTTGTTTGGAAAGCCAGTCTCACTCATGATAAACTTCAAAGAAGGGGTTTTCATCTATGTTCTAGGTGTTTTCTATGCCATCAGGAAGCCGAAGCCAATGGGCATCTTTTCTTGCATTGTTCAATTACCAGACAACTATGACAACTTTTTGCAGCATTAGCTCAAATTGTTTGGGTGATACCCCAGAGTACATTTGACCGGATATGTAGTTGGAACAATATACAAGGGGAAACTTGTCACAGAGAGTGGTGGAAGATTGTTCCAGCTTGCATATGGTGGACAATTTGGAAAGAGAGGAATGCAAGATGTTTTGAAGGCAGGTGCAGTTCAATCTAGAAGATCAAGAGCTCCTGCATTTCTCTTCTCTATTTTTGGTGTAAAGAAAGTTAGTTGATGATGTTGAATCATTACTAGACTTTATGGCCTCTTTGTAAGTTCTGTTTGAGGCTGTATCTGTAGATATGATATACCAGGCCTTTTTTTAGAGTGCTGATGAATATAACATGTTACCAATTTCAAAGAAAAAAAAAACTAAAGAAAGAAAGAAATTACAAAGTTATCCACTATCTCTGATCAACTTGAATAGTCAAATAATTCTATTTTGAAAATAAATAAAGAAAACTATCTTTAGAAGAAACATATTGCTTGTAATTAATAGGTAATTTTAATCTGTTGCAACTCAATGATTCTTCAATAAATTGAAAAAGAAAATCAAAAATGATTTTGGAATGGAAAAGTGAAAAGAAGCAGTTACAGATTAGAGATAGCAGTGAAGCGGAATATTTTTTAGATAAACAAAGCTAAAATGAAGGTGTTGGGAAGTAGAATTTCACCCGCAACATGCCCCACTCCACCCCACCAAGTTTTTTTAAAAACTGGTTCCCGCATCGGCTTTAGCCCTCTCCCATCCCTGATTCCCCCAGTTGGCTACTGGTGCTTGATTTTGTGCTGGACTGCTTTTTTATCCTTTGTATCACGTGCTTCATTTTTGCTTACTCATTCTCATGTGGGCTTTTTTTCTTTCAGTGGACACCGCCCAATTTAAGTGTACCTATATTAAATTTGGTGGACAAGACTTTTCAGCTGAACAGAAGAGGCTGGCTAAGGTGACAGCATGTTTTGTGCTTCTCTACTTCCTATCCCGTCCCCTCCTGGTATCAAATTGAGAGTTGTTTTCCTACATTTAACTTCTCTTTAATAGTTTCATTATTGAATCGGTTTCATCATCCATGTTTAACATCTTCATGCTTAATTTGGTTCCTAAAAATGATTTAGAACGGTCGGTATAATATTTGATATGAAACTATGCCTAAACTACAAACTTGCCATCCTGAAAAGCTGAACTACTAAAATATTCACATTCTTTGCATGGGAATACATGAAGGAGAGAAAGAGATGATCCAGGATTTCACAAATTTAGACATGGTTTCAACAAAATTGTAACAAATGTCCTCACCACCTCATTAAAGATTGGTCCTTTTTGGGGCTTTGTTTTGGGTCTTTTACCATAAATCCACAATTCCCAAATTTTCTTCCCTCCCCTACATCACCCTAACTTCGTTCATTAGTGGGAAAAAGGGAAAGAGCAGCCATGGTTCTTCTCTAAAATTTCAAGTGTTTTTCCTTTTGCATCTTTGTCTTCTTCCAACATTTACAGTGCCATTAATGAAGGTAAGAATTAATATACTTCCATTTTGTTGATCAGATTATGGATTAAATATACTTTTTGCCTTTCTCGATGAGTGTTTATTCCCAGCGATCAGATTAAGAATTCCCATTTGTAGATTTGCTTTTTGCCTTTCTGTTTGTTCTTGCCTTCTGATTGATGGACTCAAGGTTTATAGTTTCCAGCTAAGTTGTGGGGACTCTTCACTTTCGAAGCTTCCCCTGTGTCGGATTCTTCAAAAGTTGGTTGACATTTTTGAAGAGTTTGAGCAACATAGGTTTCCAGTGAGCTGAGTTTTACCGTTGGATTATAATTTTTTCTTCAATGAATGTACAAAAGAAGTATTAAATTTACACTAAACTCAGAAGTACCAAATTATTGACGAACTCCTTTCTTTTGATTGTTTGTGAAAATACCTAAGAATGAAGAGAAAAAAAATGAAGCTACAGTCCTGGAAAATAAAAAAGTATGGGTATTTAGTTGAATTGGGGTGTAAATATTAATGAGATGGCAAGGACATTTAAGGAAATTAGAAATGGGGAGGGTGTAACCGAACACACCTATGCAGTAGGTTAGCGAAACCCTGCATGGAAGGTATCTTGTATGCATATTATTTCCTTGATATGGCTTCACTAATGAGCATCTAACACAGCCATTTTTGTTTGCGCAGAATACAGGTATATTGGATGTCAAAGGAAATTATGCAGTTAATGATGGAGGAAGCTATTGATGATTGGCTGTTAAGGCAAATGCATTGGTTACGGAGAGAGGATGTGATTGCTCAGGGAATTAAATGGATTCAAGATGTAAGCATTTGGTTTTCTGATTGTAACTTTTCCATCTTAATTGCTTACCTTTGAAAGCAAATTTTTCTTGGCTTCTGCTTCTGGAGCTACACTATTTACAGATTGCATTAACTAAATGAAAAATGAAAAAAAATTGTTGATGGGTGATGAGAAATAGTTTGGAATTACAAAAACGATAATGATGCGAAGTCCCTTTTTTGCAAACCTTAGTGCATGTTCCCTTTTTGGGACTTCTGACATGGTATGCCTCAAATCTTTTTTACAACACTGGATTTCCTCCTTGAGAATTCTTCATAAAATAAATGCATGTGGCAATTCATCAATGTTTCACAATTTGATTTTTTATCGTTGATGTAATAAACTTAATTATTTAGATGTTATTGTAGTATGTGATTTACTTAGCATGACACTTCAGCTAATTCTGTTCCTTATTAGATTTCAAAGGCTGCCATCTATAATTTCTGCACTTATGTAAAATAGTATTCTTACATATTATTTTGAACTTGATGTGGCATATGTGAAAAGAAATATATTTTTTGATTATGGTAACTGTATATTCACACCAAAAGGCCCATCAGGTAAAAGCTGACGGGGTGGGATTTACAACCATAGAGGGTATAATTAAGACCAAAGTCTAGATAGAAACTTTACAATCGTTCTATGAAGCTTAGCTATCTATCTCCCCCACTATATCTTGTTTACACCAAAAATACAAAAAACCTATACTCTTCATCTTGATCTTCTGAAGACTGCTCGCTTTCCCATCATGGCTTCTTTCGTTTCTTTCTTTCCATAAGGTCCACCAAACACTTGCTGGGATACTTCTCCACCAATCTTGTTGTGATCCTCTTCTCCCCACTCCTTCCCAACTTTGCAGCATATCAAATGAGGTCCTTGGCATTACCCAACTTATCCCAAGTATACAGAAGAACATGTTCCACAGATTTGCAGCTGTTTTGCAATGCATGAATAAATGACTGTTTATCTCTACATCTTGCTCACATATAAAACACCTCAAGCAAATCTGGATACCTTGTCTGTCTAGAATTCATTCTCCAGTAACATGATTCAGTAAAGGGGACCCCCCTTTCTATGCAGCTTCCAAATTGGCAAATCAGGGCCTATAGTTGTCCCTGGGAATAGCAGCGATGGGGTACTATCAGTTAACAAATCGTATACCAAGGAAGTGAAAGAGTTACAAGGTGGAAAGATTGGTCCTTGGAACTAGATATGGATAACCAAGGTACCAACCAAAGTGAAGTGTTTCTCGTGGCTGGTGGAAAGGAAACGTTGCTCCACTCATGAAAGATTAAAGAAGAGAGGCTTTCGCATTGCTTCTTGGTGCTCTCTATGTAATGAAGCCAAGGAAACTAATAGACACTTGTTCCTATATTGCAGAGTGACAACATCTTTATGAAACTTATATTTGGGCCTTAACACAAACAGAGTTGACCATGCCAGAACACAACAGATTTACTCAGCTGTTGGATCAGAAGGGGGGGGGGGGGAGTAAAACTCAGAAAAAATGGTGGAATATAATTCGATCATGCATATGGTAGTCCATATGGAAGGAGAGAAAGTAGATGCTTTGAAAACAAGGCTAACCCTTTTGAGAAGGTCAAATGGTTGTGTATGACAACCTTTTATTTTTGGTGTAAAGAAGAAGGAATAGAATAGAATGCACAAATTATAGATTTTATAGGAAACATGTAATCTAGTAGATGTTTTGTCGTAGATTGAAATGATGTAACTCATTTTTTGGAGGTCTCCAGCATGTCCTCCATGCTGATGAATACAACTTTACCCTTATCAAAAAAAAGTTGTCCCTGGGAAGGCATTTAGGGTATGAAGCAAGTCTGCTACTCGGTTGATTTCTCAATCATTTAGTGCCCTCCTAAAATTCAAGTCCCACCCTTGAGGACTCCATATTTGTGCCACCTTATCCATCTATTGCAAGCTCAAGATGAATAGGTCTGGAAATTTCGTCTTCAAATCCTCTTCCCCAATCCATAGTTCATTCCAAAATCTTGCCTCTTCCCCATTACCAATTTTGTACTTCAGTTTGTTATTGAAAGAGACCCACAATCTTCTAATTGTTTTTCACACAGAGCATCCAAAGGTACCAGTCACCTCCTCAGTAATCCAGCTATTCTGAAGCCCATATTTTTGTGAGATGAATCTCTTCGATAGTGACATATAGTCACAACAAAATCTCCATAACCATTTCGTCAGTAAACTTTTTTACTTCATTCTGTGTACTTAACTTCTTTATCCCCAGCCCACCATGTTGTTTGCTGAGGGTTACCAAAAGAGATATTTGATGGAAAAATAACAGCATTCCTCTCCTCTAAGTAGAGGAAAAAAAGATTGCCCAACAGGAATCTGGTGCAATGACGGAATCCGGCATGATTGTTGAACCCTCCGTCAACTTGCAAGTTCTTTCTGAATAGTACTGTACTACTCCCACCCACTTTGCCCTCAATCAGAGGATTTAAGTAATTTTTTTACTGGTATTTACTTTTTCCTGATTCTTGAATTGACGTTCCTGCTTCTTGAATTCTTGAATTGATGTTCTGCACTTAATGATAATGTACAATTGGTCATTCCATTTTGCAGTACAAGTCAATGTTCAATTTGTCATTCCCTTTTGTGGAAATAGTTTGGTAAGCGAGTAGGGGATTTATATCTGAAATCCCATCTTAGAGATGTTCTTTCATTCGTCTTCTTCCTGCTGTTTTCCCTTATTTGTTCACATTGTTTTAGCCAGACTAAATTGTAAGTATAAAAATTGATCTTGGTACTTTTTACACATCAAATATGGACAGAACTTATGTTTCAGAGTTCACATATTTGACTAAGCCGCTACTGAGAGTTCAGCTAAGTCATCTGAACTTCCCTATGGAGCCAAAATATGTAAAATTGCATCTGGAAGGATTAATCTTTGGCATTGCTATGAAACAAGATGCAGAACAAACAAATTACATGACAGACGGCTATTAAATGCTAAGATTTAAACCTATCGGGCAATAGCAGTTTAACTAAGTCACTCGGTGGCAAATTAGTTCGGCAAAGCATGAAAACCTCATGTCCATTCTGCAGTGGAAACTGGGGGTATGACTAATCCAAATAATACACAAGAGGGAATTGAAAACAATATACTTCATTTCAATGAAAGTAAGCATACAGAGACTCTAGATGCATTTGGACCAGTATCTTCAAATAAAATCAATTGCAAGGCAGGCTAGTTTGTTTATCCAACAAAATATTGTAAGTTTGAAAATTTATCTGCATCGTATTGAGAGCTAATTTGATAAATTGCAGATACACAAGGAAATCATTCACTGTTCAGCTATGGGAGAATCTGTAAAGCGTGGATGGTATGATCATCATAAAAGAGGACAACCGAGTTGGAGGTTTAAATTGGCTGTGGAGGAGGAAGAAAAAAATGAACATAAAAAATGACATCTTTGTATATCTGAACATGATCTCGTAGTCATATAAATGTCATGAAAAGCTTAAGACTGCAAGTTCTGAAGGGTTTTAAAAAGGTTTGGTTGTTTGGTTCGCTGACAAAACGAGCCTAAGGGAAATTTTGGGGACTGAAGTCTAGTTTATTTACATTCGAATGTCAAACCATTATCTGGTCTACTTCTGTAACAAATGCTATGTTTGGTTGGAAAACTTGGAATGACCATGACTTCACTTGCAAAACACTGAATTGTTTATGTTTTTCTCTGTTCATCCTATATATGTGAATTAAATTTAGCTTTAAAGATTTGGTGTTAAAGACAAGGGAAACTGCTATTGTGATGTGGAAAAAGCCTTACTGAAGATAGCTAAAAGAGCAGTCTTTGTCAAGAGATTTCATCCTACAGTCACTAGTGAACTGGTAATATTCTGCTTCTGTTCATCATTTACAAGCTTATAAGTGAATCCCAGCTCATTTTCGTGCTGTTTTTTCCTTTTCTATTGACTCTCTTAATTTGTAGAGAATCCCAGCAGATTGCTTTGGCAAATATCAGAAGAATTACCTGATAAAGCCACTCTAAGGTGTCTTTCTGGAGGCACTTGGAATGTGAAACTACAATGTGATGGAAGAGGGCTTTCTTATACACAATGGTTGGAAGAAATTTCAGAAAAATAACCAAGTACAAAATGGGGAATATCTCGTGTTTAGGTACGATGGCGCTCTGCAATTCACAATAAGAATTTTCAGCAAGAATGGACTTGGAAAGACAAGTGAAGTCAACAAACAAGGTCAAAAATCAACAAGCTCCAATATATGGAGGCAGCAAGCGTAAAAGGCCAGAAAAATACCCTTACACTTCAAAATTCCCTAAACAGACTCGTGCTAGCGGTGAAAATGACACAGGTATGATGATTTAACTCCTACCTTTCCAATTCTTCTTGCTGTTGTTGAAAGTTAGCATAAAATGCAGTAATAGTGATCAAATTTAGACTTTCATCAACCGAAATTTCCTTTGCAGAAGACCTATTTTAACATGTGATGGACTAATAGACTACTATGTTGTGTTCCCTTAGAACATGCAACACCAAGAAAAAGAGTTGCACTTGAGAAAGAAGACGACCTTCTCACGGATCTCACTCCAAATATTCCTCAATTTGTGAAATGCTTGAAAGGCTATAATGTGAAAAAGTCCTGCTTCCTGGTAAGTGTTTTCTTGAAGTAAAACAAGTTCACGCTTATTAGTTTTTGTCACCAGTAATCTATGAAATGTGTAAAATGTATGTAAACCAAATACTTAATACTTCTAATGCAGTATGTTATTTCCGTGTGTAGCCAGATACATTTGTCAACAAATTTATGTTCATGTTGATGATTTCTAGACTGGTAAACTATTTTTTTATGTGTACGAGGCTTGCAAGGTGGTTTCTTGTGTGAAGAAAACTGGTAAAATGATTTTTGGTGTGAACTTTGGCTTCATCATTCTATCTGCTGTTGATAAACGTGACAGAAAACAATAAAATTGTTGTTGGCAAAAGATTTGCTGAAAGTGTGAACTTTTGCATGGAGCCAAAAAAGAGTTTTCTAAGTCATATGAACTTTTGCATGGAGCCTAAAGACTTTTATGCTTGCAACAAAAAAAGAAAGGAGATTGTGCAAATATACCCTAAAATTTTGTGATTTAGTGTTGATAAACCCTCATTAAAAATGTGGCAGACTCATTTATAACCATGCTATTACATAAATGACACAAATATACCTTTTTTGTCTTACATCAATTTATATATATATATATACACGCTTATGAATAGTGACACTCCTTCAACATTAAAGACACTTATAGGGTTTAGGTTGTGTGGTGAATCTTCTATTCGTGAGGGGTGGTCTTTGAAATTCTCCCTAAAGAATAAATGCAAAATAAATACAAAATACAATTTTATTATATTTGGAGTGCAATTGATACCAAATAAATACAAAATACAATTTATTGTATTTGGAATATAATTGATACAAAATAAATACAGAATACAATGTAAAATAAATGCAAAATACAATTCTCTCTCCACCCTCTCTCGACCTCGCTTACCTCTCTCCTTCCTCTCTCGATCTTGTTCGCCTCTCTCCTCTTAATATGTATTCATTTCGATACAAAATCAGTTTGTACTTGTATTTTCTCCAAAATTCATGAAAAAATACGCTTTCTCCTCTCTCTCTCTCTCCCTCCCCTAGATCTTGCTCGCCTCTCTCATCCTCCTCCCCTAACATTTTGTTATTATTCATAATTAAGCAAACTATAACTATAAAGTCCTATTTAAGGCTTAATATTTGCTATTTTTGAAAGTTTCCTTGTGCTAATTATGTTTATAGCAATTCAATAAATATAAGAAGCACACTTTAATACAAGTCCTAACCTCACCTAACATTTCACCAATAATCACTTAATATAATTTAGCGAACAAACTAAATAGCAGAACAGTAAGATCAAACTAAAACATTACTTTTGAAGCTCCCACTTTTAGTATAATATGATGAGTAAGATCAAATAAAACATTCTCAATTCTTTTTATTAGAACAATAATACTAACTAAAACAACCTTCATTTTTTTCAACAAACAACAATATGTATAGTCTTCAAAATTTGTCAACAAACAACAATGCTTATAGTCATCAAAATCTGTCAACACATAATAATACTTAAGGCCATAAAAATTAAAATGCTATGATAAATAGTAATAAACTATTTCTTTTATTTATTGTTGTGATGAGAATTTGATCCTTCATATAGAACTTGAACTTGTAAGTAAAGGATTTTGCCGCATTTTTCTCTCACAAATTCACAAATACACCTGTCATCTTTTTCCACAAGATTCCACCTACATAAATTGCGCCATCCGCCTACCAGCCATATTGTTCCATTGCTCCAATTATTGACTTTTGTCTCAAACTCTCTGCCAACAGAGTCGCGAATGATCATGGTTGGATGGAGTTTAAGTTCGTAGTCTCTCACCACATCAATTGGAACATACTATAATTATGAACAAAGATTTTGTTAAATTAGAATGTTACATAAAATTATTCTCTAGATCAATATATAATTATAGCTTTTAGTTACCAGCTGATTTCTCATTTTTGCTCGTATCTTTGCTACAAAGTAAGGATTTTTTGGCTGAGTTGTGCGTCCACTTCTGAATATATCTGCACCATATTTGTCATGCACATTCCTCACCTTGCAAGTAATAGCTTTTCGGCATCCATCTGAATCAAGAAAATTAAGATCAAGTTCACTAATAGAAATCTCATGAAAACTCACAAATACTCCATCTGTTTAATTTTACGGTAATACTTTATTGAACATGAACTTTATGAAAAAAAGAGAACTTTTGGCATTATACCAAAAGTGTTAGAAAATGATATTTGAATATATTCTTCTCTAGTATTCAATAAAACCTAACAAAATATTCCCCTAAGCTGGTTTTGTTAACGAAACAAAAAACCAAACCTATTTTAAATCTTTTAAAACTTATAGACTTAAACATTTCATGACATTTATAAGACTACAAAATCATGTCCAAATATACAAATACGTTATTTTTGCAGCAATGTACTAACATTAAAAGAATTGAATTACATGTAAAATCAAACAAATAATTAGATCTAAAGATTTAACTGTATTTACCTTTTGAACCTGACGTCTTTTTTTTGAATGTGTCAGTCATTTCATTCTCTTCTTCATCTTTTTGCTCCTCAGTTTCATTCTCCTTCCTCTCCACCACTTCCTCCTCTGTTTCATCCTCTTTCCCTTCATCCACCTCCTCCTCAGTTTCTTTCTCCTCCCCTTCCTGTTCATTATCTTCTTCCTCTTCCTTTTCCACCTCTTCTTCGTCATTATCTTCTTCTTCTTCTACCATGTAGTTATCAGTACTATCATCATCAAATGAGCTATTCTTGTTATCTCTAGTCTTGTTTTTTTCTTTTGGTTCTATACTCTTTCGATTTTCAACATTCACTTCTTCCTCCTTGTTGTCACATTTAGCTCCATTCTTTATGCATCCATTTATTCCAAGTAATTTTATGTCAAATATTTCATTTCTATCATAATCGAATATTATAAAGTCTCCAAACTCTAGACTGTTGTCCTCAATAAATTTCTCCCATCCATTCAGAAAACCTTCCTAGGTAACTTTCCATTCTTGTAGTTTGTATATGCTGTGGGAATTTTCTGTGAAGAAAAAAAATATTTTTGAAAAAAAGGTAAAAACAATATTAATTTCTTTAAATCAGATTTATCATATCATAAAAAGCAACAAATATGAGAAGAAAAAGTAATTTAAATAAACTCGAAGTTTGAACTTTTTGATGTTAGAAATATTTAAGAATGTAACTATTTGAGAAACTACAAAATAGAATCTAAGACATTCTCATAGTTTTATTGCAAAGTACTACCATCAACACACATAATATGATCGTTTGTCATTTGAAAATGATATATGCAATTTTATGATATCAATTGATTGAATAATCCATTATACATAATACTTGTATAAAATTGGAAAATTCAACATATAAAATACTAATATAATAATTACTTGCATCACACAAAAGCATCTCTAGTCTTTTAAATTTTCCTCCCCTTATTCATAGCCCAATCTTCAAAAAGTGTTACTTTAAAAAAAAAAAAATTAAAAAAATGGAGTTAGCAAAAAAATTAAATCATCTACTTGTATTTGCAGATCTAAATTTCACCAAGGCCTTTCACCTTTTCATATCCGTTGCCCACATTTTCAAAAGAAGAAGAAAAAAATTCAAGAAACAAAGTCCCAAAAATCTATTACCACAAGGAGAAAGTGTATTTACCATCCGTTTTGCACTAGTTTTGAGGATTGAAAACCTTGAAAAAACCCTTTTCCATGTTCACTTTTGTTGTCAAGCAACAAGAGAATAGAATAACTCGCCACACAACCTAAACCCTATAAGCGGCTTTAATGTAGAAGAAGTGTCATTACTCATAAGCGTGTATACATATATATAAACGGAAAAGGGTCAAAATTACCCTGAACTATGTGAAATAGACCACTTATACCCTTCGTTACATTTTGGGATAAAAAAATGCCCCTGCTGTTATCCTAAGAGACCACAAATACCCTCAACAGTTAACACCCCAAATTTTTAAAAATCGTCACTAAAAGTTTTTAACATTAAATTCTAATTTTGTGTTTTTTTCTTCATTGTTTTTAAAAAACCAAAAATGATATCGATTAAGTAGGAGTTTTAAGACACTGTATGTTTTATTTTTATGTCATATGTAAATGTATAAAATGTACAATGATGCATTATATAGTAGGAGATTTGAATCGAGAAGTAATTTTGATTATTTTTCGTAATAATATTGTATGTTTTTAATATTGATATTGCAAGTTATTTATTTTAGAAAATTAGGTTGCAATCGAAAATTAATTATCATATTTTTTTGTTGAAAAAATAGGTTTTACTAGCGAATGGTTGTTGGAGCCTTAGTCGCCACTAAAAATCACTCATAACCTTTAGTGGCAATATTTTGGGAATTTGTGGCGACTTTGTCGCCACTAAAGGTCAAGTTCTTTTGTGGTGAATCTTAGTTGGTAACGCTTAGGTGGAGGGATTAGTCCCATGTGGCTTGCCACGTCACTAAAAATTTGGGGTGTTAACTCTTGAGGGTATTTGTGGTCTCCTGGGATAACGGTGGGGGTATTTTTGATCCCAAAATGTAATGGAGGGTATAAGTGGTCTATTTCGCATAGTTCAGGGGCAATTTTGACACTTTTCCGATATATAAATTGATGTTAGACCAAAAAGGTATATTTATGCCATTTTTGTAATAGCATGATTAAAAATGAGTCTACCACATTTTTCACGAGGATATATCAACACTAAATCACAAAATTTTACGGTATATTTGCACATTCTCCTTTCTTTTATTGTTGCAAGCATAAAATGTCTTTAAGCTCCATGCAAAAGTTCATATGACTTAGTAAACTCTTTTTTGGCTCTATGCAAAAGTTCACACTTTCAGCACAACTTTTGCCACCAACAATTTTATCGTTTTCTGTCACGTTTATCAATAATTGATAGAATGGTGGAGCCAAAATTCACACCAAAAATCATTTTACCAGTCTTCTTCACACCAGACATCACCTTGCCAGCCTCGTTCACATAAAAAAATATTTTACCAGTCTTCTTCACATCAGAAATCATCAACATTAAGATAGATTTGTTGACAGATGTATCTAGATACACATAGAAATAACAACATAGATTTCGTGTGAACCTACCATTGATCTGGCATAATAGATCGAGATGACCATTATGAGCTGTCCCGTAATAAAACCAGCTATAAGGGAAAAGGGTAAAATATCCTTCAACTTTCATTTATTAGTTGACTTTACCCTTATTGTTAAAGTAGAGTTGTTCTTATCCCTGTCGCTACTCTATTTATCATCCATACTCCTCAATTGGATGGAAAGTCCCAAATGAAATAAAATTACCCAATTTCAATTGAATGATAAGTATAGTAACGGCAGGGGTAACAATAACTTTAACGATAAGGATAAATTCAACTAATAAATGAAAGTTGAGGGGTATTTTTGACCATTTTCCCGCTATAACCATATGAACAAATAAGGAACCACAACAAGATATGGGAAGCTAAAAAAAATCTTGAATTTCATGATGTAAATCTCCTACTCGCTCCCAAACTTTTACCTTCATTTGCACTAGTGAATCAAGCAAAAATGGGATGACCAACTGAATATCATCAGTTCCCTTAAGCGCAGAACATCAATTCAAAAACCAGGTGATAGAGTTAAATAACTATGACTCATAATAATAAGTTATGTACAAACATCACACAGTGCATGAATTTTCATATGTGGGATCATTGTTTCACTTATGTATGCAAATTGAAATGTTCTACTACTAATTATGAAGAATTATAGAGGTTTCTTATGTGCTGCACCCATTGGCTTCTGACTCTTAATTTGGGATCCGCTTCAGGGACGGAGCCACCATTCGAGATACGGATTTTGCAACCATTACACTTTTGGGTTCAGATGAAACCGTAGATTATATGGTACATCCACCACCGACTATAAGACAATTTAAATACATTTATTGGTATTTGCACCAGATAACTCTAGGTGAATCTGTTCTCTGGAAAAGTTTTCTAGACATTTTGTGCATCCTATTCAAATATAATCAACATTACTACATCTCTAATTGTAAGCTGTAGGCAAGTATTGTAAGCTTCATTTCAGCTGTAACATACAGAAGTTAAACAACTCTAATTACTTAGATACAGAAAATGAAAACAAGGTTGTCCATTAAGCAGCTACAGAGTTCAAATTCCAAAATAATATCAAATTGTAGCAGTTCAAAGCTAAGAATTTATCATCTTTGTGCAGCAAGTTTCAACAGAGATTCTGAAGGATGATCGAAAACAGAAACCTTCAGCTCATTTGCATTGACAAGCTGAAAAACATCCTTCCTTATCCTTATTATCACTCACAAACTGTTTTCATCCTCCACAGAGAGCGTGATATCCATTTTGTGTTATACAATTAACTTTCCACCTTTTTCCTTCTGAATTACGGAGGACAACTGTTGTCTTATTGTCTGATTTTGAAAGTTGTTCACAGAAGGATTTTGGAACATACTGCATTAGAAGTATTAAGTATTGGGTTTACATACATTTTACACATTTCATAGCTTACTGGACACATAAACTAATAAGCATGAACTTGTTTTACTTCAAGAAAACACTTACCAGGAAACAAGACATTTTCACATTGTAGCCTTTCAAGCATTTCACAAATTGAGGAATATTTGGAGTAAGATCTGTGAGAAGGTCCTCTTCTTTCTCAAGTGCAGCTCTTTTTCTTGGAGTTGCATGTTCTAAGGAAACACAACATAGTAGTCCATCACATGTTAAGATAGGTCTTCTGCAAAGGAAATTTCGGTTGATGAAAGTCTAAATTTGATCACTATTACTGCATTTTATGCTAACTTTCAACAACAGCTAGATGAATTGGAAAGGTATGAGTTAAATCATCATACCTGTGTCATTTTCACCGTTAGCAAGAGTCTGTTTAGGGAATTTTGAAGTGTAAGGGTATTTTTCTGGCCTTTTACGCTTGCTGCCTTCATCATATATTGAAGCTTGTTGATTTTTTACCATGTTTGTTGACTTCACTTGTCTTTCCAGTCCGTTCTTGCTGAAAATTCTTATTGTGAATTGCAGACTGCCATCGTACCTAAACACGAGATATTCCCCATTTTGTAGTTGGTTATTTTTCTGAAATTTCTTCCAACCTTTGTGTATAAGCACAAGCCCTCTTCCATCACATTATAGTTTCACATTCCAAGTGCCTCCAGAAAGACACTTTATCGTGGCTTTATCAGGTGATTCTTCTGATATATATGCCTAAGAAAATCGGCTGGGATTCGCTACAAATTAAGAGAGTCAAAAGGAGATGACAATGAGCTGGGATTCACTCATAAGCTTGTAAATGATGAACAGAAGCAGAATATTACCAGCTCACTAGTGACTGTAGGATGAAACCTCTCGACAAAGACTGCTCTTTTATGTATCTTCAGTAAGGCTTTTTCCATATCACATTAGCAGTTGCACTTGTCTTTAACACCAAATCTAAGCTAGATTTAATTCACATATATAGGATGAACAGAGAAAAACATAAACAGTTCAGTGTTTTGCAAGTGAAGTCATGGTCATTCAAAGTTTTCCAACCAAACTTAGCAATTGTCACAGAAGTTGACCAGATAATGGCTTGACATTCAAATGTAATTAAACTAGACTTCAGTCCCAAAAATTGCCCTAAGGCTCGTTTTGTCAGCGAACCGAACAACCAAACTTTTTCAAAACCTTTCAGAATTTGCAGTCTTAAACATTTCATGACATTTATATGACTACAAGATCATGTTGAGATATGCAAAGATGCCATTTTTTATGTTCATTTTTTTCTTCCTCCTCCACAGCCAATTTTGAACCTCCAACTCGGTTGTCCTCTTTAGCGATGATCATACCATCCACGCTCTACAGATTCTCCCATAGCTGGACGGTGAATGATTTCCTTGTGTATCTGCAATTTATCAAATTAGCTCTCAATACGATGCAGATAAATTTTCAAACTTACAATATTTTGTTGGATAAACAAACTAGCTGGTCTTGCAATTGGTTTTATTTGAAGATACTGGTCCAAATGCATCCATCAGACTGTATGCTTACTTTCATTGAAATGAAATATGTTGTTTTCAATTCCCTATTGGGTATTATTTGGATTAGTCATTCCAGTTTTCACTGTAGAATGTACACGAGGTTTTCATACTTTGCCGAACTAATTTGCCACCAAGTGACTTGGTTAAACTGTTATTGCCCGAGAGGTTTAAATTCTTCGCATTTAATAACCGTCTGTCATGTAATTTGTTTGTTTTGCATCTTGTTTCATAGCAATGCCAAAGCTTAATCCTCCAGATGCAATTTTACATCTTTTGGCTCCATAGGGAAGTTCAGATGACTTGGCTGAACTCTCTGTAGCGGCTTAGTCAAATATGTGGACTCTGAAACACAAGTTCTGTCCATATTTGATGGGTAAAAAGTACCTAGATTAAAATTTAGTCGGGCTAAAACAATGTGAACAACTATGGAAAAACAGCAGGAAGAAGACGAATGAAAGAACATCTCTGAGATGGAATTTCAGATATAAATCCCCTCCTCGCTCCCCGAACTATTTCTGCAAAAGGGAATGACAAATTGAACATTAACTTTTACCCTAAAGGGAATGACCAATTAAACATTATCATTAAGTGCAGAACATCAATTCAAGAACCAGGAAAAAGTAGTAACCAGTAAAAAAATAACTAAAATCCTCTGATCGAGGACAAAGAGGGTGGGACTTGGGAGTAGTACAGTGCTATTCAGAAAGAACTTGCAAGTTGACGGAGGGTTCAACAATCACGCAGGATTCCGTCATCATACCAGATTCCAGTTGGGCAATCTCTTTTCCTCTACTCAGAAAAGAGGAATGCTGTTGTCATTCCATCAAATATCTCTTTTGGTAACCCTTAGCAAACAACATGTTGGGCTGGGCATAAAGAAAATAAGTACACAGAATGAAAGTTAACTGAAGAAATGGTTATGGAGATTTTTTTGTGAAGATATGGCACTATGGAGAAAATTCATCTCACAAAATATGGGCTTCAGAATAGCTGGATTACTGAGGAGGTGACTGATACCTAATACCTTTGGATGCTCTATGTGGAAAACAATTAGAAGATTGTGGGTCTCTTTCAATAACAAACTGAAGTACAAAATTGGTAATGGGGAAAAGGCAAGTTTTTGGAATGTACTATGAATTGGGGAAGAGGACTTGAAGACTAAATTTCCAGACTTATTCATCTTGAGCTTGCAACAGATGGATAAGATGGCATAAGACTCCGCTCACTAGAAACCTATATTGCTCAGACTCTTCAAAAATGTCAACCAACTTTTGGAGAATACGATACGGGGGTAGCTTCGAAAGTGAAGAGTCCCTGCAACTTAGCTGGAAACTATAAACCTAGAGTCTATCAATCAGAAGCAAGAACAAACAGAATGGAAAAAAGCAAATCTACAAATGGGAATTCTTAATCTGATTGCTGGGCATAAACACTCATCGAGAAAGACAAAAAGTATATTTAATCCATAATCTAATCTGATCAAAGAAATGGAAGTGTATTAATTCTTACCTTCATTTTGGCTTTGTTTATCTAAAAAAATATTTCGCTTCACTGCTATCTCTAATCTGTAACTGCTTCTTTTCACTTTTCTATTTCAAAATCATTTTTGATTTTCTTTTTCAATTTATTGAAAAATCATTGAGCTGTAACAGATTAAAATCACCTATTAATTACAAGCAATATGTTTATTCTAAAGATAGTTTTCTTTATTTATTTTCAAAATAGAATTATTTGACTATTCAAGTTGATCCAGAGATAGAGGATAACTTTGTATCTTTCTTTCTATCGTTATCTTATATTTTTCTAGTGAAGCATGTCATACAATACGTAAAAAGAGTCATTAGACTGGTTAGCAAAACTATATTACTAAATAGTAAATACTAATGAACCTAATGGAGAACTATTCAGAAATTTTTGGATCTATTATTTTACTTGCAGTAGCATTGGACTTTTGATAAAGCAATATAAAGTCTCCATTTGTAAAAATAATCAAATTATAAACATGTCCATTTTAACAAAGTAACAAAAAAATGACAGAAACTAAAATAGGGCAGGGTGGGTTGAAATTTTAGCAGGTTAAGACTCAACCAACCCCAGTGCCATCCCTACTGAAATATTTCAGATAAATTACATTAGATCAGAAGGCTGACAAGAACCTAACTTGTAAATATCTCGCATGCTAAAACTGAAATCACTTTAACACTCTCTCGTTGCCCCATAACTGAAGGGAAACCCTGGTCCTACTGTATAAGTAATCCAACTGGGAGCATTCCAGACATGAGATTAGACCAGACTGATTTTATCTCACCTACTATGAACCTTAATAAAGCATATTAATCGACTCCTCGATACAAGAAACACATCCAAATATGCAGAAAAAATATGAGGTCATATATTCACTTGCAGCCCTCTGATAAGACACGATTCCTAGCTTCAAATGTCTTGTAGCACATCTATTGGTCTTCCTTCATGTTTTCAGCAGAATAAATTTCCAATGAAGATACCCCATTCACAAGAAGTAGAAGAAGAAAGAGATAACTCTGGTGGCACTCCAACTGGATCATCTTGTTGACTGGGAACTACTACCAAACTTGTCTCCAGGGAATCCTCCGGAACTGAAAGATTCAGTTTGGAGCCCAGAACCATTTTTCAAGTCCACCGCTGAGCTTATCAGCTCTTCGTCGTGTTTAACCACCCAAGGGGTAAATCCTTTTGAATTCAACTCATTGTCCGAATGCCGCCCATTGTCTTCTGAACTAGGTCCTACTTCCTCATCCCCATGGCTTCCACCTTTATCATCGTTATCATTGTCAGAGAAGCTATTAACTGACTCAGAGTTGCTTTGTGTTAAAGCCAGTTTATGTATTTCCTCCACATTCCAAAACAAATTTCTGCTTGAAGTAGAGGAAGTAGGTTCATAAGAAGAAGATAAAGGAGAGCCAAAAACTTTACGCATCAAGCCATCAGAAACGCCTTTAAATTGACGCACCATATCATCCACATCATCATCCACGTTAACTGTCACAAAGAATGAGTTTAATCAGAACATATCAAATAAAGTAACTATCCTATTCCAGGTAACTCACTCATTAAGTTCATTCTTAAGCAACCACAGGAAGACGTAAAAGTATATAATAAGAGAAAAAAAAACAATCACCATTCGTAGTTATTCATTTAGCTGAGTGCTGACTGATTGATGTGACATCTTATGCATTGGTGCACCACAAAGGATTCATTACTGAACATTTTAACATTTAGTCACTTAAATCCCTGCCAAGAACAGACAATAATTTTTCCTAGTCAATAGCCTTGAACATAATCCATCCTCCACCCTATTTTATTCTTTTTCCTTGAAAGAAGTGGTGGTGCCAAGAAAGGACAAGAAGATGAAAATTATGGAAAAAAAAAAGGAACTTAGGCCCAAAACCGGCATAAGAACTGCCCTGTTGAGGTCTATCAAGATCGTACGAGTTCAGATACCATGTGAAGGTTTGAGCAAACCTTAAGACAAAAATAAAGTTGTCAAAAGACCTTATAAACCACTTTTATATAACTAAACAACCTTCCACATGTGTAACCACCTCTATTGTTCACTCATGTATTTGAATATGGACTTGCCAGTGCGAGAAAAACCTACAAAGGTAGGCTCAGATATCACGTGAGAGAATGACACAAGAAAAAAACATATTGATAACTTGACAATTCAGTGAATACAAATCGCCTATTTATAGGTTTCAAATATGATACATATGGTACTTCTCCAACACGGAGCAATATGTAAATTAAGAATTTAACTCTATTATAACACAATTAAATAAACATACTACTTAAAGTTCATGACTGCAGATTATATGATGTGAAGAAAAGTAACATAGTGTGTCGCCTCAGATTGTGATTTAATAGTACAATACTGTTTCACACTTTAGCTTTATAATTTAGCAAAGCAGACTCCCCAACTCACTTCAAGAATTAAGCATTATCTGAAGTTGGAATCAGATACCCACACTGCATCCTATGTGACGAAACTTGGTACAAGTTATTCTGGCCTTTAAATGGAGATTTATTATTGCAGTCATCAACAGGACTACCCTTACCACATTCCATGTATACGAGTATATGGATGTAAAAATATCCAATGGAAACACCAGGCTCATCACATAAATAAAGAAAATAAACATGTTGGGTGGAAAAATCACTGAAGAAATTTTTCCAAAGAAGTAGTTCTTCATAGAAATAAATCAGATATTTGTTAGGGTTAAAACAGCCTAGATATATATGAAATGATGGTATAAGACCTAACGAATTTCAAGAAATATATAATTTGGAAGAGGCACTAAGAAAATCCCACACTTCATGTTGCTCAGCCACATTGGCAATTGACAAGAGATCCTGTTAGAGAAAGAACATTTAAAGCAACCAGAAGGCACACATATTCCAAACAGATATAAAAGCAGTGCAGAAACATACTATTCAAGTTCAAATTCCAAGATAATAACAGCAAATTGTAGCAGTTCATAACTAAGAATTTATCATCTTTGTGCAGGCAAGTTTCAACAGAGATTCTGAAGGATCATCGAAAACAGAAACCTTCAGTTCATTTGCATTGACAAGCTGAAAAACAGACATGTCCTTCCTTAAAGCTTGTTATCACTCACAAACTGTTACCATCCTCACAGAAAGTGTGATATCCATTTTGCGTTTTACATTTCACGTTCCACCTTTTTCCTTCTGAATTACAGAGGACACCTGCTGTCTTATTGTCTGATTTCGAAAGTTGTTCACAGAAGGATTTTGGAACATACTGCATTATAAGTATTTGGTTTACATACATTTTACACATTTCATAGCTTATTGGTCTCAGAAACTAATAAGCATGAACTTGTTTAACTTCAAGAAAACACTTACCAGGAAACATGACTTTTTCACATTATAGCCTTTCAAGCATTTCACAAATTGAGGAATATTTGGTGTGAGATCTGTGAGAAGGTTCTCTTCTTTCTCAAGTCCAGCTCTTTTTCTTGGAGTTGCATGTTCTAAGGAAACACAACATAGTAGTCCATTAGTCCATCACATGTTAAATAGGTCTTCTGCAAAGGAAATTTCGGTTGATGAAAGTCTAAATTTGATCACAATTACTGCATTTTATGCTAACTTTCAACAACAGCTAGATGAATTGGAAAGGTATGAGTTAATCATCATACCTGTGTCATTTTCACAGTAAGCACGAGTCTGTTTAGTGAATTTTGAAGTGTAAGGGTATTTTTCTAGCCTTTTACACTTGCTACCTCCATCATATATTGAAGCTTGTTGATTTTTTACCATGTTTGGTTACTTCACTTGTCTTTCCAGTCCATTCTTGCTGAAAATTCTTATTGTGAATTGCAGAGCGCCATCGTACCTAAACACGAGATATTCCCCATTTTGTAGTTGGTTATTTTTCTGAAATTTCTCCAACCTTTGTGTATAAGCAAGCCCTCTTCCATCACATTGTAGTTTCACATTCCAAGTGCCTCCAGAAAGACACTTTAGAGTGGCTCTATCAGGTGATTCTTCTGATATATGCCTAAGAAAATCGGCTGGGATTCTCTACAAATTAAGAGAGACAAAAGAAAAGTAAAAAAACAGCACGAAAATGAGCTGGGATTCACTTATAAGCTAGTAAACGATGAACAGAAGCAGAATATTACGAATTCACTAGTGACTGTAGGATGAAACCTCTCGACAAAGACTGTCAGTAATGTTTTTTCCATATCACAATAGCAGTTGCACTTGTCTTTAACACCAAATCTTGAAAGCTAGATTTAATTCACATATATAGGATGAACAGAGAAAAACATAAGCAATTCAGTGTTTTGCAAGTGAAGTCATGCGCATTCAAAGTTTTCCAACCAAACATATCAATTGTAACAGAAATAGACCAGATACAAGTAACACATCCAAATATGCAGAAAAAAGATGAGGTCATATACATTCACTTACAGCCCTCTGATAAGGCACGATTCCTAAGTTCAAATGTCTTGAAGCACGTCTATTGGTCTTCCTTCATGTTTTCAGCAGAATAAATTTCCAATGAAGATACCCCATTCACAAGAAGTAGAAAAAGGGGAAGACGAAAGAGATACCTCTGGTGGCACTCCAACTGGATCCTCTTGTTGACTGGGAACTACTACCAAACTTGTCTACGGGGAATCATCAAGAACTGAAAGATTTACGTTGGAGCCCAGAACCATTCTTCATATCCACCGCTGAGTTTATCCGCTCTTCGTCACGTTTAACCACCCAAGGGGTAAATCCTTTTGAATTCAACTCATTGTTCGAATGCCACCCATTGTCTTCTGAACTAGGTCCTACTTCCTCATCCCTGTGGCTTCCATCTTTATCACTGCTATCATTGTCAGAGAAGCTATTAACTGACTCAGAGTTGCTTTGTGTTAAAGCCAGTTCATGTATTTCCTCTACGTTCCAAAACAAATTTCTGTCTGAAGTAGAGGTAGTAGGATCATAAGAAGAAGATGAAGGAGAGCCGAAAACTTTACGCATCAAGCCATCAGAAACGCCTTTAAATTGACGCACGGTATCATCCACAGCATCATCCACGTTAACTGTCACAAAGGATGAGTTCAATCAGATTATAACAAATTACGTAACTACCATATACCAGGTAACTCACTCATTATGATCATTTTTAAGCAATCAGAGAGACGTAGAAATATATTAAGGAAAAAAATAATCATCTTTCGTAGTTATTCACTTAGCTGACTGATTGAATGTGACATTAAGGATTCTTATGTATTGATACACCACAAAGGACTCATTACAGAACAATTTAACAATTACTCACTTAAATCCCTGCCAAGAACAGACAATAATTTTTCCGAGTCAATAGCCTTGAACATAATCCATCCTCCACCTTATTTTATTTTTTTGCATGAAAGAAGTGGTGCCAAGAAAGGACAAGAAGATGCAAATTATGAAAAGAAAAGGAACTTAGGCCAACAACCAGCATAAGACTGCCCTATTGAGGTCTATCAAGATCATAGGAGTAGGAGTTCAGATACCATGTGAAAGTTTGAGCAAACCTTAAGACAAAAATATTTAAAAAAAAAAAAAAAAACCTTAAGACAAAAATAAAGTTGTCAAAGACCTTATAAACCACTTTTATATAACTCAACAACCTTCCACATGTGTAACCACCTCTAGGGTTCACTCATGTATTTGAATGTGGACTTATGGGTGCGAGAAAAAACTACAAAGGTAGGCTCATATATCATGTGAGAGAATGAGACAAGAAAAAGTATATTACAATTCAATGAATACAAGACGCCTATTCATAGGTTTCAAATATAATACTCCCTCCGTCCCATTTTATATGATGTACTTTGATTTGGCACAAACTTTAAGAAAAATGGAAAGACTTTTAAAACTTGTGGTAAAAAATGAATGATAGAAATTTGTGTGGTTGTAAATCATTTCATTAAGGGTAAAAAAGACATTTTATAGGCAAATTGTTACTTAAAATAGAAATGTGTCATTCTTTTTGGGACTGACTAAAAAGGAAAGTGAGTCATATAAATTGGGACAGAGGGAGTACATAAAGTACTTCTCCAACACGGAGCAATATGTAAATTAAGAATTTAACTCTATTATAACACAATAAAATAAACACACTACTTAAAGTTCATGACTGTAGATTATATGATGTGAAAAAAAGTAACATAGTGTGTCGCCTCAGATTGTGATTTAATAGTACAATACTCTGTTCAAACTTTAACTTTATAGTTTAGCAAAGCAGACTCCCCAACTCACTTCAAGAATTAAGCATTATCTGAAGTTGGAATCAGATACCCACACTGCATCATATGTGAAGAAACTTGGTATAAGTTATTCTGGCCTTTAAATGGAGATTTATTATTGCAGTCATCAACAGGACTACCCTTACCACATTCTAGGACTACCCTTACCACATTCCATGTATACGAGTATATGGATTTAAAAATATCCAATGGAAACACCAGAATTATCACATAAATAAAGAAAACAAACATGTTGGCTGGAAAAATCACTGAAGAAGATTTTCCAAAGGCATAGTTCTTCATAGAAATAAATCAGATATTAGTTAGGGTTAAAAAAGCCTAGATCTATATGAAATGATGGTATAAGACCTAACGAGCTTCAAGAAATATATACCTTGGAAGAGGCACTAAGAAAATCCCACACTTCATGTTGCTCAGCCACATTGGCAATTGACAAGAGATCTTGTTAGAGAAAGAATATTTAAAGCAACCAGAAGGCACAAATATTCCCAATAGATATAAAAGCAGTGCAGAAACATACTTGCAGATATTTGTAAAGCTGAATGCAATGCTGATGAACGAATGCATATTCTGTACTAGACGAAAATATCCTCTTAGAAAGCAAATGCAATGTGTAATTAGGAATATCCTTCAGGTGACTATGCAATCTCTCGAAGTTCCTGTATCTGCTTAAACGGCACCCAATAGGATATCAGCTAAACAGAGCCAGCGGAATTTGAGAAAAGAACTTGTTCAGTGTTCAAAGGGCAATACAAAAAAATTTTGAGCCCAGCTTCTCAAAATATGCACCCAAAACCTGGGGAAGGAGAAAACAGTATTGAGAAACAAGAATCTTAGAAGACATAAGTCACAGGTAACTGTGTGTAAAACAATCAAAATTTGAGACCTTAGCTCATGAAATTGTTTATACAACACCACACAAGTTTTTATTTCTTATGAGCCAGCTTGAGTTCTTGGGACATATTTTGGAGTATGAGGGAAAGATTAAGGAGAATTCACAAGCCCTGAACTTCAAGCTTTGGACGATGATGTCCCTCACCATGTCCGAAGCACTCATAGTGCTAAGTACTGCATTCCTAAATTCTGCACTATAGAATTTTGATATAATGGATCCACCAACTTTGCTCATAAACATGTGCCATTTTCGACGTCCACACGAGTCCATCTAGGGAATTTAGAACTGTAAGGTTATTTTGCTGGCCTTATTCGCTTCCTTCCCTCATCATATATTGAAGCTTGTTGATTTTTTGCCATGGCTGTTGACTTCATACTTCTCTCAAGTCCATTCTTGCTGAAATTCTTACTGTAAATAGCAGCGCCATCGTACCTAAACACGAGAAATTCCACATATTCTAGTTGGTAATTATTCTGAAATTTCTTCCAACTTTTGTGTATAAGCAAGCCCCCTTTCATCACATTGTAGTTTCACATTCCAAGTGCCTCTAGAAAGACACTTTAGAGTGGATTTATGAGATGATTCTTCTGATATATGCCTAAGAAATTGACTAGCATTCACTACAAATTAAGAGATTCAAAAGAAGAAGAGAAAACTGCAAGAAAATGAGCTGGGATTCACTAAAATGCTTGTAAATGATGAACAGAAGCAGAATATTACAAGTGCACTAGTGACTATAAGATGAAACATTTCGAAAAAGACTGCTCTTTTATCTATCTTCAGTAAGGCTTTTCCGTCATCACAATAGCAGTTGCACATGTCTTCAACACCAAATCTTTAGAGATAGAGTTAATTCACATAAATAGGATGAACAGAGAAAAACATAAAGAATTCAATGTTTTGCAAGTGAAGTCATGGCCATTCCAAGCTTTCCAAGCAAACATAGCAATTCTAAAAGAAGTAGACCAGATAATGGTTTAACATTCGAATGCAAATAAACTAGACTCCAGTCCCAAAAATTGCCCTTAGGCACGTTTTGTCAGCGAACCGAACAACCAAACATTTTTAAAACCCTTTAAGACTTGCAGTTTGAAACATTTCATGACATTTATACTAGATCATGCTGAGATATACAAAGATGTCATTTTTTATGTTCATTTTTTTCTTCCTCCTCCTCCAAAGCCAATTTTGAACCTCCAACTCCTTTCTTTTCACATCCAGTTATTCCAAGTAATTTTAAGTTAAATTCATTTCCATGATACCATCATAATCAGTTTACAGAAAAAAAATGACACATTCAGTTTAATTAATGTATAGGGACAAAGGCTTACCAGAATACGGTTCCGTAAATGTTATATTTTTCAAGAATCTGCAAGTAAGGATTTACTGGCATGACCATTTTGGCAGCTTTAATGGCCCTGCTCGCTTCTGAAGTACTTGGTTGTCCTATTTTATGATGATCATACAATCCACGCTCTACAGATTCTCCCATCGCTGGACGGTGAATGTTTTCCTTGTATCTGCAATTTATCAAATTAGCTCTCAATATGATGAAGATAAATTTTCAAACTTACAATATTTTGTTGGAAAACAAACTAGCTGGTCTTGCAATTGATATTATTTGAAGATACTAGTCCAAATGCATCTGGAGTCTCTGTATATTTACTTTCATTGAAATGAAGTTTTTAGTTTTCAATTGCCTATTGTGTATTATTTGGATTAGTCACACCCCCAGTTTTCGCTGCAGAATGTCCAGAAGTAATCATATACTTTGCTGGACTAATTTGCCACCGAATGACTTAGTTAAACTGCTACTGCCCAATAGGTTTAAATTCCTCGCATTTACTAGTCATCTGTCATGTAATTTGTTTGTTCTGCATCTTGTTTCATAGCAACGCCAAAGTTTAATCCTTCCAGATGCAATTTTACATCTTTTGCTCCATAGGGAAGTTCAGATGACTTAGCTGAACTCTCAGTAGCGTCTTGGTCAAATATGTGGACTCTGAAACATGAGTTCTGTCCATATTTGATGAGTAAAGAGTACCAAGATCAATTTTTATACTTAAAATTTAGCCTTAAGGCACAATGGTAGTGTAGCTATAATAATTTTAATTAGAAACATACAAGAGAAACCTTGTACATCAGAAGTTTATCTGTTTCAAACATTATGTTGTAAGTTCTCACAAACCTAAAATTGATCTGGCTACCACCATGTGAACAAATATGGGAAAACAACGGGAAGAAGACGAATGTAAGAACATCAATTCAAGAACCAGGAACACAAATATGAAAAAGTAGCAACCTCAAGAAACAGGAACATCAACGCAAGAATTCAAGAACCAGGTAAGTCAATTCAAGAACCAGGAACATAAATATGAAAAAGTAGTAACCTCAAGAAACAGGAACATCAATTCAAAAATAATAAAATCTAATTACAATGTGTATATAACCTAAAATTGATCTAGCCACAACCATGTGAACAAATAAGAAAAAACAATGGGAAGAAGACGAATGAAGGAACATCAATTCAAGAATTAAAGAACCGGGAACTTCAATCAAGAATTTAAGAATTGGGAACTTCAATTCAAGAATTCAAGAACTAGGAACATCTCCACGAACTTTTACATAAAAAGAAATTACCAATTGAACATTATCATTAAATGCAGAACATGAATTCAAGAATTCAATAACCAGGCAAGTCAATTCAAGAACCAGGAACATGAATTCAAGAATTCAATAACCAGGTAAATCAATTCAAGAACCAGGAACATAAATATGAAAAAGTAGTAACCTAAATCGAAAACAATTCAAGAAACCATGAACGTCAATTCAAAAATAATAAAATTTAACTACAATGTGCATATAACCTAAAATTGATCTTGCTACAATCATGTGAAGAAATAAGGAAAAGCAATGGGACGAAGACGAATGAAGGAACATCAATTCAAGAATTAAAGAACCGGTAACTTCAATTCAAAAATTCAAGAACCAGGAACATCTTACCGAACTTTAACATAAAAAGGGATTACAATTATCATTAAGTGAAAAACATTAATTCAAGAACCAGGAATGACCAATTCAAGAAACAGGAAAAAGTAGTAACCTAAAAATCCTCAGACTCAATCTTTTTAAAGTAGTACAGTACTATGGCTCAATCTTTTTACCGTCGTCATGGCCGGATTCCGGTTGACAATCTTTTGTTCCTCTATTCAGAAAAAGAAGAGTGCCCTCACATATCAGTGTCACATCCTTTTATAGGTAACTCATCGGCTTTCTAAAATATCTTTTCCCATATATTTTCTTTTTAAAAAAAACACCGCTATATTAATTAGGTAAAATAATTTTGGCCGACTTTTTATTTATTTCAATTACTTATTAAAGGTTTAAACAATTGTGATTTATTATAGTCTTATATATTTATATTTTCTTTAAATAAGAAATTAAATATATGAGAAATTAAAGAATTAAAGATCCTTACTAAAAAATAATTAGAGAATCTTCGAAATAACCATTCTAAAAAATTGAAATTGACCACTCTTTAATTCGAATATTGGATTAGTAAATATTGAATATATAAATCATATCATATATATATATTAAAAGAGAACTTTAGACCCGCCTACGTGGCCACATTACAAACCAGAATTCCCTTTTAATTTATTTATTTACAAAACTAGTCTTCCCCTTCATGAAAAGTTGTGAAATTTATGAAAAATTGTGACTTTTATGAAAA